CAGCTAGTGCTGTGCGTCCAGGCTGCCACTCATCCCAAATAAGTGTTTTCCTCTGTGGCCCCTGCAGTCACCCTTGGTCATCTAATGGCAGTAAGGACGGTTTATGAGTTATGTCATATTAATTCATAATAATGAATTATGTCATTTTATGTCATAATAAAGTCAATTTTTTCCCTGACTGAAATGTCATGTAATTCAAGTCCATGAAGAGCTGAAAACTTCTGGCAAACATTTGCTGCACTTTTTCTGAAACATAAATTAACTGCTTGTTTGCCACAAATAAATAAAGAGATATTTGGCCATAAGTTTGAATTTGGCAGGAGACCCATAGTTGCCCTGTGGTGTTTGATCTGCAAATTGGCTTCACAGGCTGTGGAATGAATCCTGCCAGGTCATTTGGTCCAGCTGTGCTAACTATGAACTTCCACAATCACTGGGTTAGTAAACAAACCTCATGTGGTAGAAAACAAATAATCATTCACACACACACATACAGTATACTGTGTGTGTGTGTGTGTGTGTGTGTGTATTGTGTATATATATATATATATATATATATACACACACACACATATCATCATATATAACTTGCTCACAAAATGACTTAGTGCATAACTTTATGTAACAATATAAAGGATAATGCTGATGTTTCACCTGGCTTCATGCAGGTGTATTGGGTGAGACCTTGTGCTGGCTCTCTTCTTCCCTGGCTACTACATGACCTGGTGCTCCATCCTCGTTGGAGCTGCCTTGGCGACTGGTTGATAGAATGTAAAGAGGCATTCCTGAAAGATCTTTCCAAGCAGTCCAGAGGTTCTGAAAACCATATGGAAGCATAGTCATTCAAATAAATCTTGTAACTCCATGCAATATAGTTTAGGGCATCACTGACTGATCGTCCAATTTGATTAGAAGTCTTTACTCATTAAAGCAAGTTAGCACATCTTTAGACCATCTACTCAGATCCTTATGAATCCATGTACACAGGACCAGTCCAAACAGCACCTGATCCAGCATCAAATCTCTCGCTCCAGTGACGCAACACATGGACCTATAGCCAAGCAGTCTGTGTTTTGTTTTGTTTTTTTGGCATCAGTGTGTTCAGTTAAAATAAGCATCCTTTTTTTGTTTAGCTGCTATTGTGTGCTGCTCGGTTGTTGTTGTTGTTTTATTAAATAAATTCAGTGCAGCACAGAATATTGCCAATGTCAGAAAATTAGATTAAATTCACCCGGGGCTTGTAACTATTTAACATTTCTCATTTTGTTGTAAACAGACTGTCTTGGGGTTTGGGACTTAATAGAAATGCATATGAGTTTAAACAAACAATAAGAGAAAATTTATTGCGTATTCATGCACACCTGTCAAGTCACCTTTATTTCTATAGTGCTTTATACAATACAGATTGTAAGATGAATGCGGCCAAGTACAGGGATATCCTGGACGAAAACCTTCTCCAGAGTGCTCAGGACCTCAGACTGGAACTAAGGTTTACCTTCCAACAAGACAATGACCCTAAGCACACAGCTAAAATAACGAAGGAGTGGCTTCACAACAACTCTGTGACTGTTCTTGAATGGGCCAGCCAGAGCCCTGACTTAAACCCAGTTGAGCATCTCTGGAGAGACCTAAAAATGGCTGTCCACCAACGTTTACCGTCCAACCTGACAGAACTGGAGAGGATCTGCAAGGAGGAATGGCAGAGGATCGCCAAATCCAGGTGTGAAAAACTTGTTGGATCTTTCCCAAAAAGACTCATGGCTGTATTAGATCAAAAGGGTGCTTCTACTAAATACTGAGCATTTTTCAGTTTTTCTTTTTTAATAAATTTGCAAAAATGTCAACAATTCTGTGTTTTTCTGTCAATATGGGGTGCTGTGTGTACATTAATGAGGAAAAAAAATTAACTTAAATGATTTTAGCAAATGGCTGCAATATAACAAAGAGTGAAAAATTTAAGGGGGTCTGAATACTTTCCGTACCCACTGTATATATATATATATGGTACGTATTATATTTTATTTTTCAAATATAGTTCATTATTCTTGTTTGTTGAAATAAAATTAATATAGTGAATAAAAAGAACAATGACACTTGACAAAACAAAACAAAACAAAAAAAAAGTGATTTTTCTCATTTAACATGAAAAAAGCACAGAAATAAAGTCACATTTGCAAAATACCCAAACATACTATATCTGTATGTCCCCTAGGGGTAGGATGCAATAAACAGAGTAGGAAAGACATTCACCAGACCTAGACAGATAAACAACAACTATATTATTGGAAGGCATGTTGAACAGCAGGTCAATTTTTCATACTTAAAGAGCAGCTGAATTTCTTCAGGGTGCACTCAGACCCAAATCTGCAACAAATCTAAAAGGGAAACTGAAAAATACAGTTTTTGCGATTAGATGAGTAGCTATATTTGTTGGAAGTGCGTAATCTCTTAAGATGAAACTTCCTGAGCGTGGCCTCTGCTTACACAATTTCTGGCATGTCTCTGCTAAACTGTTCCTCCCTTTTTGTCTATTTTGAACTGTTCAACTCTTATTACGGTTTCTCTACTATAAAGTGCATGTATTGAAAGGTGTATTTGGGTGTTCCTATTCTGGCATCTAATAACAGAAAATTAATTCAAATTACTTTAAACCAGCAAATTCCTAATAATAAATGCCACAAAATGCTCACTGAACATCAAGGAAACCCATGACATGTACCTCATTTTATCTGTAGGAAACACATTGGAAACAGACACCCACAAGTGTCATGTAAACTTCAATAACCACAGAGTAGTATAACAAGTGGTACTGAGCTCTCCCAAAGGAACAGAATAACATTAAGTTCTTCCTAGTGGCAGAGAGAATTGTGTAGAACGGCTTTGGGTGACTATAACAAGCATCTCAGTGAAAATGGAGCAGAGGCTGAAAGTCAGTCTGCTGTTTTTTACTCTGATTTTGTCCATACTCATTTATTCGAATCACATCAGTGGCTTTAACCTGGATCTGAACAACTACACGGTCTTCTCTGGCCCTGAGGACAGCTACTTTGGTTTCTCAGTAGACTTTTATCAGTCAAGCAGCAAAAGGTGAGTGGTGGTGTCCATAGCATAAGCTCTGCATGGATTAGCTGGTTGACTGCTTCAAAATCTGTTAAAACCTTCATCCAACACATTGAACTGATGCCCACACTAATTATTATCTTCATTCAGCTATTAAACAGAACCATTCAAAAGTTTGGGGTGGTAAGATTTTAAATGTTTTTTTTACAGTAAAAGAAGTCTCTCATGCTCAACAAGCATGATTTTATAAAAAAATCAAATAAAACAGTAATATTGTGAAATTATGAAAAATTTAAATAATTGTTTTCTAGTTTAATGTATTTTAAAATGTAATTTATTTATGTGACGGCAAAGCTGATTTTTCTGCAGCCACTACTCCACTCTTAAATGTTCAGATCCTTCTAAAATCATACTAATATGCTGATTTGGTGCTCAAGATACATTTGGGGTTCATTGGCGAGGAGGGCTTTATATTGAATAGATTGAGTGTCAGATTGACTCAGGTGATGCCAGAATTGAACAGCTCTGTAGCGTCTGGACCAATCAGACACACCATTTTTCATTTGATTTAACAAATCAATTATTCATTAGATTAACAAACATTCACAGACCCCTCACCCAATAAACATACTGGGTGCCAAGATGTCTGTGAACGAGGCCCAGGACACTGGTTACCATGGCAACCACGACACCTTTGCTAGACCAGATATTATAATTAATTATAACTAGTTATGATTAATTATTCATATTTCCCCATGAGCTGATTCGCTACAGCTCTTTTTTGTATTTCAATGTGTAAGTGGTATAAGCCCAGTTCAGCCCTGCAGGCATTGTTAGAAGTGCCTCTGTTTACCCTTAGAATGTTTTTTGCAAATTCCAATTGTGTTCTTTCTATTAAACTTTTATCCCAATTTTCAAACTTTAATACTGGTCCCCAAATTTCACTCCCGTACAGTAGAATTGGTTTAATGATTGCGTGATATAATTTTATCCATGTTTTAATTGGTCATTTTAATTGGCCAAAGCGTGATTTGATGGCATAAAAAGCCCTCCGGGCCCTCTCATTCAAGGCCTTCACAGCCAGCCTGAAGCCCCCTGATGCTGAGATCTCAATGCCTCTCTCTCTCTCTCTCTCTCTCTCTCTCTCTCTATCTATCTCTATCTCTCTCACCATGATTCAAAGGTGATGAAAACATCACATTTGGTAAAATGCTCCTAATGGCTCACAAATCAAACCAGTGGTTGGGCGCTTCAGTTCGAACCTACAAAAACTATATCTTGGTGGGTTACTGGAGTTCACAAACAGCCCTCACAAAAGAGTTAATACAATTGATTTAACTATGTTGTTTCTTCAGCCAAACATGCTAATTATTTTAAGTTTGGCATAATTAGTCTAGTTTTGTAGTATGTGAATTATTCAGGGATGTTTTATAGGAATTTGTGTAAGTAGTTTTAGGTTTGTCTTAGTATTTTGCCACCTTAATAAGCACTTTCAGCTTAAAGTTGTTTTAAACAAAACAGAAGCCTAACATTTTTGTGATCTGTAAATCTATGATAAAGTGAGAAATAACTGAAGTACTTACGTTTTTTATTGTAGACTCACTGTCCCATAACGAATGACTGTGAATGGTTGCTATGGTTACATTACAATGGTTATGGTTATTTGTTTTTTTTGTTTAGTTTTTTTCTGATTTGTCCTAAACTGCCAATTAACTAGACGTGTTAATTTATGTTAATATCATGTTTTAAGTTCTTTCTCCAGTTCTTTCTCAGTTACTTAGTGTGGGAGACAGAAGTCATATAATTCAGTGTTCATAGAGCTAGTCTTAAAACCCAGGAATCAGCATTTTCAAGCCTCTGGAACTTCCAATAGGTTTTTAGAATAATAGTTTTCAAGTTATAAAATGTCTCTGGTTGATACGTATGTTCGGCAGGCCTGTGCTCCAATGTTCCACTGGAACGTGCTCATGGAAAAGGAAGAGGCCATGAATACACCTGTTGGGAACTGTCAGCTTTTGAACATGCAAACAGGAGAGGTGGCAAACTACGCCCCCTGCAGGGAACTTTATGTAGAGGTGATTTACACCAGAGACTGTAAGATGCTGCTGTCCCATACAGTGATATAACTGCTATGATTACAGTTATGTTTATAAATATGCAATACAAATAAGCTATGATTATTCTTCAATGTCTAATGTTTCAAGCACTCTGACCAAATCCGTATGTGCAGATCCTGACAGGCGTTACTGTGAAGTTGGATTTACCACAGACATCACAGAGGTACCTTTCTTCTCTTATAATGGCAGTGGAGTAATTTGCATATTTGAATGTGTATTCAAACACCTATACATAGTCAGAGTCCTTGAATGAATTCACTGCAATACAATATAAATATTTATTAAATGCTTTAACTTTGTTTTTTCCTGTATGTAAAAATGTTGGTTGTGACAGAATGGCAGAGTGATACTTGGTGCACCAGGGGGCTATTATTTTAAAGGTAAAGTATGTTAGAAAAGCTACAGTATGTATCTTCCAAAGAATGTCAACACTAGAGCAAGGCAGTTTTCACTACTGTGATTCAAATATTTGAAAATATTTTTTTTTCTTTTTTTTAAAATGCGAATTGACAGCGCACTTTTAGTGGGGTTTATATGAGTTTGTGAAGTGTGCTTTGACTACAATGGCACTGTCAAGCAGCTTTCCAGGTCAGTACTCCAGGTCAGATCATCACTGCATCTCTTGCAAACATCATGAGCAGTGGCAGTGCGTTCTCTCCCATGCACTCAGTGAGTGGTGAGACCAAAACACCACAAAGACGTGACCACTATGACCTGTATCTGGATAAGATGTGACATCAGACATTAGAAACTGAGGCCAAATAAGCTCTTTTTTTAGATATTAAAATAATAAATATGATGATAAAATCTGAAACATCCAGTGAGGTTTTGTCATTGTTCTGCATCATAGGATACTCTGTTGCTGCTGGGAATTTTAATAAAGACAACATCCCAGGTGATAAGCATAAGTGACAAGCCATCTTAATTTTTATGTATTCAATTTAAGCAGCAGCTTTTAAAAAAAATGCAATACAAGTTTAATCTGCAGTTCTCATCTGCATTATATTCTCACCTTTATTTGATGATGATTGCAGATTATGTTGTTGGCGTCCCAAACGATGTGCACACCGCAGGATCTGTAAGTGCTCTTACACTGTTACATGGATGATTATGTACTTCGGTTGTCCTCTTGTACAGTTACACAATTGATTATGGACTTAATCGTGGTAAGTTGTTGTTGTACTGTGCTTGTTTTTAGGTCAAAATAATAAATGGAGCAACTGTGCCCCTGCAAATCATGAAGGCGATTAGTGGCATCCAGGTTATTTGGTTTGATTTGTAATACAGGATAGGAAATAGTAAAATTGTGTTTATTTTTTTCTCAACAGTCTAATATTTTAAGCTATTACAGTACTGTTGAAAAGTTTGGGGTCAGTGATTTTTTTAAATAATTTTATTCAGCTAGTATACATTAGACTGTTCAAAAGGACAGCAAAGACAGTTAAAAAGTTACAAAAGATTTCTATTTCAAATAAATGTTGTTCTTTCAAACTTTCTGTTCATCAAAGAATCCTGAAAAAAATACATGTATTATGGTTTCCACAAGCAGCATAACTGTTGATAATAATATAAAATGTTCTTGAGCATCAAATCATCATGTTAGAATGATTTCTGAAGGATCATGTGACACTGAAAACTGGAGTAATGGCTGCTGAAAATTCGGCTTTGCATCACAGGAATAAATTACATATTAAAATATATTCTAATAGAAAACAGCTATTTTAAATAGTAATACTTTTTCATAATATTACTGACTTCAGAAACATGAAGAAAAAAAATCCTACCTATCCCAAATATTTTAATGGTATTGTTTGTTGTCTACTAAACATTTACTTTAAATGCTGTAATGATAGTTTTTGTCTGGTCCTCTGTAGATAGCATCTTATTTTGGACATTCTGTGGCATTAACAGACATTAATAGAGATGGGTAAATCATTCCTGCAGAGATCAATTTATCTTTCTGGTAGTTCAAGAGAATTGCTAAGATGTTTTTTGAGATGAATTATCCCCTCTGTGGTCATCAGGTGTGACGACATCCTGATTGGAGCACCACTTTTTATGGAGCAGCTGTCCACTCAGAGACGGTCTTTGGTCAAGTGGGACAAGTCTATTTTTACCTGCAAAGAAAGGACTTCTCCTTCTCATCCAGACCCAACCAGATCCTGATAGGGACATATGCCTATGGGCGTTTTGGCAGTGCTATAGCCCCTTTGGGAGACCTCGATCATGATGGCTTTAATGGTAAGGACTACTCTGACATTATAGAGCTGGATTTGCAGTGAAAATAACATGCAGTTCCCTGCCAAGGGAACTTCGAACTGCGTCCTCTAGGGGTCGCTATGGGGAACGCCTCGTCGTGACCCGTGTCTGAAGCATACATTCAAAAAACACCAACATGTTGGCCGGCGACAGCCCAAGCATACATTGAAAAAACACCAACAACACGTTGGCCGGCGACAGCCCATGACGTCACTACCGGTGCGACTATAGTATAAATAGGCGCCGGGAGAACACGTCATTCTCTTCTTCATCTTCATTGACTGTTTTGTTTGAAGCATGCATTCCGTGGTAAGAGCGATCTTTCTTCCTTCATTGTGGCGAGCCCTAGCAACACACATGATCTTTGCGTCTTTTGTTTGGGCGAAGAGCACGCACGCAATGTCCTCGAGGGGGCAATCTGCATTAACTGTGAGCATTTTTCGATGAAAAAGCTCCATTCTCGTTTGTCTCTCTTTTCGAGGAGAGAAGGGCAGCCGTCTTCTCCCCGCGGTTCAGAACCCGCAGCTGCTGAGGCACGGAGGAGAATGAGCTTGTGGGGATCGCAGGCGGATCTGGCCGATGAGTTTAAAGAGGGGCTTTCCCTCTCACGCTCATCGGCTGTGGACGAGAGTGAGCCGCTGGAGGATGATGTTATTTCCCTAACATCGTCTGATCCAGGGGCCAGTGCTCTGCTGGGTTCGGACCGGGAAGAGCAGGAGATGTCTGAGGAGGGCGAAGAGGCTGAGGCTGA